AAGTCGACAACGTTTCGATTTGGAATCACCATGAGGCAATTTTCCGTAATATTTGAAAATCGTGTCTAGTTTTTGATTGTGGCTTTAGCAGGCCGGAGTTTAAAATCTATTTTCTCAGTCACTTCCAAAGTGAGAAAGTAAAATTTGGTTGCATTCTATAGACCAATGTTACAATTTATAAGTCAAAAACGAGTCGATGTTCAGTCATCTTCAGGGAATTTTCTTTAGGAATTTTTTGAAATTTTGTATGTGCTTTGTGCTTGTTTTTACAGGTCACAGTTTGGCATTTATTTATTCAAGAACTAATATATTCAGGGGATCGACTTTGTCGGTTATATAGCGCAACGTCGTATCTATAAGTGCAAAACGTTTCGAATTTCAGCTATAATCACGAAATTTTTGAGAAGTTTCAAAATTGCATGTGATTTTCGCGGAATATTTAAGCAGGCCGTATTTTCACATTTATTTACTCAGAAACTTGCAAACTTTTGTATCAGGTTTTTCGGGCAAGATCCGCTACATTACTCGACAACGATTTCGATTTTGAATCATCATCAGACAAATATCAATAATTTTTAAAAATCGTGACTAGTTTTGTTTGTGGTTTTTGCAGGCCGAAGTTGAACTTTCAGCTTGTCTGTAATGGGAGAACGGAGAAAATACGTTTTGCATGCGTATTCTAGGGCAAAACCGTTTATATAAATGCAGACGGTTTAGATTTTCAGCCATCATCAGGCAATTTTTGACAATTTTTACAAAATGGCGTTTCGTTTACGTGATTCGTTTTTGAAGGCCGGAATTTGGAATTTTTTTATTCGATAACCAACGAATTAACAGAGCGGCTATTGCACCTATTTTGTAGGAAAAATTCTGATATATAAGTGGACAAAGTTTCGATTTTCAATCATCAAGCTATTTTTAATACATTTGTTTTCTCGACTTCTCTCTGGAGTACAATTATCAAGAAAATATTGCATTTTCTGATTAAAAAATGCATCTGAAGTTGGCCTAAAGTATCAAAATTCGAAATATTTTTCGACATTTAAATGCATCTGGGTTACATAGTGTGAAAATATTTTTGGCTTAAAAATTGTATATCCGATCTTCAAACCTTCGTAACCTTTGGAGGTTTCTAACCGATTTTAAATTTCTCAACGGCAGTTTTTAGCGAAAATCACACTATTTCAACCAAGTTCTTCAATATCCATATCGGACGGGTATTAAGAGACCAAAGGAAACATTTCCAGAGCAAAAAACTCGGGTTTTTTGCTCTAAAAAAATAAAATGACCAGTGCAAAAATGCACTGGTCATTTTGTTGCTGAATATTTTGCTTGGAAAATCGCCCATTCGGCATTAAAATCTTCATAATGTTCAATTGATATTAATTAATTGCTCAAAAAGCAATTTTCATAAAAAATTACTATTCTTTCAACAAACGAACAAACACAAAACATTTCGATTTATTTTCAAAAAACATTTTTGGACTTTAAAATACAACAATTCAAAGTAATTTATCCGGAAAATCGTCCTTTCGGCTTTGACCTCATAGGTAAGATGAACGTTCAAAGTTAGCAAGAAATTGCAATTTTCTGGGCTCACCTAATTCGATAGAAACATACAGACGTTTGTTTTTTGTTTCCATGGTAACATGTACCCGGTTAACTTGATCTAAACAAAAA